TCCTCGTCGGCCGCGGAAGTCTCACAGAACCGGATCTTATACTTATTCATTTGTATAGCCCATTAGTGGCTTTGTATTCGGCCCAGTAGCGGTCCAGTTGTAAATGAGCCTCCCAAGCCCAAGGCTTGGGAGCCCAGCCCGTATTTCCCCTATAAATACTTCCTCTGGAGGTAGTTATCAGGGTTACAAAATCATTCTATTGAAGCATATTATTGCACTTCTCTCTCTAGCTCTCACTTCTCTCTAGACAATTACTCTATCAATTACTTCAATGGATGCAAAAAACTAGGATAATATATTAAAATCATATCCAAGCCAATAGAAAGTTAGAATAGTTAAATAAACTAAAAACATTTCATCTTCTTGTTTGTGATGACATAAATATTTAAATATATTTTTCATTTTTGTTACACAACTTTTCTTGGTATATTTTTACTTATAACTCCATTTATTAATCAAAACATCATCATACTGATAAAATTTATTAACCCGTAAAATGTAATTTCTATAAAAATTATTACTTGTGTTAATATTTTTTTATTTTTTTAAATAAATAAAACAGTTTAAGTAGTTGTACTAATTATAATAAAAAAATTAATTGATATTCTTAAAAGTCATTTAACAAGTTACCAGCTGATTATAAACAATCATTTAACCAAACACTATTTGACCAGTTGGTATACCGTGGGATCATCCCACGGTGAGCACTGTGCTTCACTCTCAAAACGACGTAGTTTAACACAATTTTTTTTAAATCGCATGAACAGTACACGCATGAACAATAACATTTTTTCTTTCTTTTTGTCCCAGTAGCATTAGTGATGTAACTCGCGTGCAAAGATATGTAACTTACGGTATTGATCAATGTAACTCAAGTGCATTCGAAATGTAACTTGTCAAATACATAGTATTAAAAATACAATATTGATTTCGATCTAAACAATGAAAAAAAGAGTTTAATTGATTTTAGTGGAAGAAAAGGAGTCTAATTGCCCATTTAATTTACATAAATAGTCTATATGTTTTGTTTTTAATAGCAGGGTTATAAAAACGATTTTTTTATTTAAAAAAATTGTTTGAATAGCAGAAGCTTATGGGACTGTGTAACTCGCATTGTATTGAGGTGTAACGCGCGTTTTGGAAAATGTAAATCAAATGTAAATAAGATGTAACTTGATAAAAAAGAGTTGACATGTATGTAACTCACAGTTTAAGAAAGGTAACTTTAGACAAATTCTGATGTAACTGCATGCATTTTCAAATGTAATTTGAGTCAATCAAAATATAAATTGTCTAACCTTTATAATATATTTTTCAAGAAAATGTATCATCTATTTTTAACAATCATCAAAAAAAATTCCAAAAAAATATCAATCAACCCATCATCAATTCTCCAATAGTGGAGCATAGGAGAAGTTGCTGCTAAAGTCTCAAGGGATGGGAGAAACCATATATTCTAAGCCGTTGCTTTCTAATCAGTCAATGATGAGGAGCTAGCCAGCAAGGTTTGCTTCAGGATACGACACACCACAGAGGCACCGAGGCCAGAGCTCACGTCTTCTTCTTCCGATGCGGCGATGCAGCTACTTGCTCTCTTGCTCTGTGTTGTTACGTAATTAAAAGGTCTCTTTTTTATTAAATAAAACGGCGTTGTTTTGGGATCGGCACATCATGCACATGGTGGGCCGGTCCCACCGTATAAATTGCCCTATTTTACAAATTGCTAATCATATGAGCTAATCAAAATAGTCAACTGAATCTGATGTAATCAATCAGCTAAAACAATCAGCCAACAACCAACAGCCAATTGTCAAACACCCCCAAAGCATATTATAATAGAGAGCCTCGACTTGTGCATTATTATTTTCTTTGTACTAGGAATGGGCAAAAATACTGAAAAGCATGATACTAAATCGATAAATGTGTTCTGAGTTCTTTTTCCATATCAAACCGACCCTCAATCAATAATGACTAGATTGATGTTGAGTTTCCTCGCACTAAAAATATGTAGCGATATAGGGTATAAGTACGAGTATCGTCTCCACAGGGATGGAAAAAAAGGAAATTAGGAATTAAATAAATTTAGTGATTACAAAAATAAAATAAATAAAATGCAATTGTGCAAGATTTGATTTGTTGGAAAATTAAAATGAGAATAAGAAGCTAAATTAAACTAATGAGTTCTTGATAACCGCTTACGCGGCGTTGTAGTAAAACGGAGTCTAACCTTTCGGTTTTTCCCCGATTATCATGTCTCTTGAGGAATGGCGGAGGAGTTTCTTGATTTTAAGTCCAGTCACAGGTTATCGCAAATTATTGGAAGCTTTCCAAATTAAAACTTTTGATTAATTTTCTAAACTAACCTTTGAAAAAGAAAGTAAATTGAATTATGCAAATATTAATGATGACTCAAAAATAAACTAAATGAAAAATATAATATTGAACTCTAAATGGATTGATTAAAGAAGGGCACTGAATTAAATTATTAAACATGAGTACATCCTTTTAGCTTGGACCTAATAATTAGGAGTAACTAAAGATTGGATTAGTAATTTCTTTTCTCATTGACAAGATTTAAGTTACTTTCACTAATTTATCCTATTTCTAGGCTTCATTAATGTGTTTAAAATGGTTGGCCTAAATTATATTCTAATCTCATAGACAAGACATATATAACTTTCCGCATTTTAGCTAACAAAATGGTCAACTTCATTAATTAATTATATTTGTCATATTAAACAATTGAATTTATTCCTCATAGACAAAGATTAAATTATATCCATTAATTTATCCTATCTCTAGGCTTCATTAATGTGCTCAATATGTTCGGCTTAAACTATTTATAATCTCATAGACAAGTTATAAATAATCTTCCAATGTTTAATTAATGAAATGACCAAATCTATTAAGTAATCAAATTAATCATTTTAAACAACTAGTCCATAAAATTAGTTAAGCTCCTAATTTTCGGTCAAACAAGGTCAACCCATATTCTTTAATTCAACTCATGCCCAATAGTAAATTAACTACAACAACTTATTACTAGTTTTAACACTTTACATATAAAATAAGACATGATCATAAATAATAACAACAAAATAAAATATTAAAGTGAATACTCCCAACATATAAACTTTTTTTTTTCTGTCACAAATAAACATCATTTGTACTAGGTATTGAGTTTATCTAAGTAGGAGATTAATATAACAACAAGAACTATTTTTCTCGAATAAATATGGAAAATACGAAATACTTAAAATTAATGCAGAGAATGTTTCACTAACATTTGGAAAATAAAAACAACATATTCAGAATCTATACGACGAGAAGATAAATTTTCATATAAATAACTTACAGATTGGAGCTAAAATGAGAAAGATATGAAGGATTGAAGTTGAAGGTCCAACAATGGTGGAAATCCGAGCTTTGAGGAGGAAGAAGACATCCTTTTTTATCTGAGCTGGGTGTGAGATGGTGTGTTTGAGTTCAGCAAAAATCGGGCTATTTATAGCACACAGAATCTCGTAGGCGGTCTGGAGGGCGGCCGCCCTTTGGCTTGAACCGGCCGCCTGCCGTCTTTTCACCGACAGAATCAACGCGACAACGTCACTTCGCCGCAGGCGGTCACGGAAGGCGGCCGGCTGCCTGCCGTTTCTTTCTGGCCGCCTGCCGTCTTTTCACACTGACGGTCGTTGGCTTCGTCGTCTTGTGCCGTAGGCGGTCACCGAGGGCGGCCGCCCTTCGTTGAGTGTCGACAGCCTTCGGTCTTTTCCGGTTCCGGTCAAAGTCAAAAAATTGACTTTCCAAAAATAGCCGTAGGCGGCCTGGAGGGCGGTTAGATCTGACCGCCTGTTTGACCGCCTGTGAGTTAAATTGACGGGCTTGTTCTGTATTTTCTGCTATTCAAATTTCCCTTCTGGACCACTTTGATATTTTGCTTCCTTCTTCATATATGGATTTATTTGTTATTCAAATTGACTCATTTTGTGCTCAATTGGCCCGAAATTTCACCAAACATATTATGACCGTAATTTTCACCTGAATTCATGAAACTTGAACCAAAATATCCAAAACGTGCCTTGATTTTCTATTTTCTATACGAAAATTGCTTAATTTTGATAAGAAAAATAAGTACAAAAATGGACTTATCAATCTTCTCACACTTAAGCGTTGCTTGTCTTCAAGCGACAAATTGGTTGGAAACACACTCACAAAAGGTAAAACCTGACTGAATCACAATCGAATTGCTATTAAAGAAATAGAAACAAAAATCTCCTTTTTTATTCTCAACTTTTAAACATTTTAGAAAAATAACCCAAAATACAAGAATTTTAAATCATTATTACTTTATAAAAACTATTGATTATGTTAAATCATCAATCAATTCCTTATTCCAAGGTTTCCATTATTCTAATTTGGACATTTATCTTATTCACAAACTTTTTTTTGTCATTTTCCCACTCTTGTTGGCGGTGTTATCCCATGGTAGATGCATATTTCATTCTCACAGACTATGATTAACGAATGAAACAGAGCCCCTTTTCGGAGAAGGAATTGTCCTATAACAATGAGTTTTGAAGAGATTTATTAATAATAGTATTTTTGTTTTTATGAATAAAATGAATGTCCAATTAAAACAAAATTAGCCCTTTACATTCGCAACCAAAACCTATAACAATTTCAAGTTTTCTAAAATTAATAATAAAAGTAAATTCTTATAATAAAGGTGATTCTCTAAGCTATTATGTGATTGATAATAATTGAGAAGTGAATGTTTCATATCAAAAATAGTAAAAAGATTGTCCTAAAACAAGGTTTTAACTTTTTGAGTGTAAAACGCAACCTCCTTACACTTGAGCTGGACCTCACCCTCGAGGTCTCTTTTTAATGCACAAAGTTTGGAAATAAAGGCACCCATTTTTTTGTTCTTTCCTCACACTTGAGTTTTGAAAAGATTTTGTGAAGAGAAATGATGAAAACAGGAATAAAATTGTTTTAAAAATATCCTTACATCATCTGTAGTCAGTTTTTTTGAAATCGGGTCAAAGCGCTCAACTCACAATTTATTTATTGAAGCACAATCTGCAATCACACAAAACAAACAAATAAAGTTATGAAAAACATGAGTTGTATCCCAAGAAGCGCTCTTTAACGTCACTAGCTTGACGTTTGAGAGAGAACTCTCTGTAATGCAAATCAGTTGTGGAGCACTCATCACTAGTGCATCCACCTTATCCTCCAGGTATGCAGTCAGATGGCGTAGACCTTCGAACTCTCGTGACCACCAAAATGTGACATAATCTTCAAAGAACACATCGTTCGAACAAGGAATTAGCACATATCCTGCATCACTCTCATTAGTAGAATCAACAAGTATTTCAGGTTCAGGTAGCTCTGGTTTCTCCAACCGCTCAAATGGAGCCATCAAGGTAAAAGTAGCCTGACTAGAGATTCCATACTCCTCTTGATGGGTTTTCTCTTCTTCATCTATGTCCTCAACATGAAAATCACAAAGTTTAGAGTCTATGTCACTCTCTAAGAATGCATTCCAACTTCCTAACTCACTAACCCCACAAATATCATCTAGGCAAACAGATCCTTGCCTAGCACAACTATGTTCGTCATCATTGAGTAGAGAGTCAAAGAAGTTAAGGCGTCATCGGAGAATGTTTCCTCCAAATCACACGTGTCAATAACAACTTCAACAGGCATTTGGGATTGTGTACGATCAACATCTTCATCAAGGTTATCTTTCAAGGACTCTTTAGGTGAGAGATCATCCGTACATGGTAGGGTAGGGCTAGTATCACAAAGTATCTCCTCATCTATGGTCTCTTCATCAACCTCAGTGAGCACTTCCAGATTGAGTTCTTCAGGACTAATTTCTACGAGGACAGGCTCTAGCTCAGTAGCAATGAGAGGCTCAAAAGAAATAGGGGTGCAAAGAGTTTCAACCATCTCACCCATAGTTATTGCATCCTCGTCCTCGGATTTAGCACCTTCCTCGTATGTCTCCTCTTGAACTTTGTGTTCATTGTTATAAATGATTTGTTCAAACAATTTCTCGAGACTCTCGTCACGAGATGCTAGTTCAATCCTTGTCTTTTTTAAGTCTTCCACACAATCGAGTAAGGATGATTTTAATTTTTCGAGCTCGTGTTGAGGTTAAGGTGAAATTCCAGAGTCGTTCTCGTAGGAGTACTCGTTTGTGCTGGTGTAATGGTTTTCTAGCCTTTCGTGGTAATTTTCATGATAATTAAAATCATTATGATAATTACCTTGATAGGAAAAATCATCACAACCTTCAAAGTTTTGCCCTTAGTGGAAATAATTATCTTGAAATTGGTAATCTGCATACCCCAAAGGTGGATTTTCGCACCATTGATTGTTATCCTCATAACCATGCTCATAGTATCCTTCATTTTGATTATTTTGAAAACTTTATTGTTCATGGTATGGATAGTGATATGATGGTTGAGAATGAAAGTGTTCATTTGAGTAATCCATGAGAAATCTCAAGCAAACACGTGAAAACAAAACAAAAAAGAAATAGAAAGTCTCCCTAACTTGAATTCACCCATGCTAAAATCAAAATCAAGATTTCACCGTGCCATTCCCCGGCAACGGCGCCATTTGATAACCGCTTACATGGCGTTGTAGTAAAACGGAGTCTAACCTTTCGGTTTTTTCCCGAGTATCGTGTCTCTTGAGGAATGACGGAGGAGTTTCTTGATTTTAAGTCCAATCACGGGTTATCGCAAATTATTGGAAGCTTTCCAAATTAAAACTTTTGATTGATTTTCTAAACTAACCCTTGAAAAAGAAAGTAAAGTAAATTATGCAAATACTAATGATGGCTCAAAAATAAACTAAATGAAAAATATAATATTAAACTCTATATGGATTGATCAAAGAAGGGCACTGAATTCAATTATAAAATATGGGTACATCCTTTTGGCTTGGACCTAATAATTAGGAGTAACTAAAGATTGAACTAGTAATTTATTTTCTCATTAACAAGATTTAAGTTACTTTCACTAATTTATCCTATTTCTAGGCTTCATTAATGTGTTTAAAATGGTTGGCCTAAATTATATTCTAATCTCATAGACAAGATAGATACAACTTTCCACATTTTAGCTAACAAAATGGTCAACTTCATTAATTAATTATATTTGTCATATTAAACAATTGAATTTATTCCTCATAGACAAAGATTAAATTCTATCCATTAATTTATCCTATCTCTAGGCTTCATTAATGTGCTCAATATGTTTGGCTTAAACTATTTATAATCTCATAGACAAGTTATAAATAATCTTCCAAAGTTTAATTAATTAAATAACCAAATCTATTAAGTAATCAAATTAATCATTTTAAACAGCGAACTAGTCCATAAAATTAGTTAAACTCCTAATTTTCGGTCAAACAAGGTCAACTCATATTCTTTAATTCAACTCATGCCCAAGAGTAAATTAACTACAACAACTCATTACTAGTTTTAACACTTTACATATAAAATAAGACATGATCATAAATCATAACAACAAAATAAAATATTAAAGTGAATACTCCCAACATATAAACTTTTGTTTCTGTCACAAATAAACATCATTTGTACTAGGTATTGAGTTTATCTAAGTAGGAGATTAATATAACAACAAGAACTATTTTTCCTGAATAAATATGGAAAATACGAAATTCTTAAAATTAATGCAGAGAATGTTTCACTAACATTTAGAAAATAAAAACAACATATTCAGAATCTACACGACGAGAAGATAAATTTTCATATAAAGAACTTACAAATTGGAGCTAAAATGAGAAAGATATGAAAGATTGAAGTTGAAGGTCCAACAATGGTGGAAATCCGAACTTTGAGGAGGAAGAAGATATCTTTTTTTATCTGAGTTGGGTGTGAGATGATGTGTTTGAGTTCAACAAAAATTGGGCTATTTATAGCACACAAAATCTCGTAGGTGGTCTGGAGGGCGGCCGCCCTTCGGCTTGAACCGGCCACCTGCCGTCTTTTCACCGACAGAATCAACGCGGCAACGTCACTTCGCCGCAGGCGGTCACGGAAGGCAGCCGCCTGCCGTTTCTGTCTGGTCGCCTGCCGTCTTTTCACACCGACGGTCATTGGCTTCGTCGTCTTGTGCCGTAGGCGGTCACCGAGGGCGGCCGCCCTTCGTTGAGTGTCGACAGCCTTCGGTCTTTTCCGATTCCGGTCAAAGTCAAAAAGTTGACTTTCCAAAAATAGCCGTAGGTGGCCTGGAGGGCGGTCAGATCTGGCCGCCAGTTTGACCGCCTGTGAGTTAAATTAACGGGCTTGTTCTGTATTTTCTGTTATTCAAATTTCCCCTGTGGACCACTTTGATATTCTGCTTCCTTCTTCATATATGGATTTATTTGTTACTCAAATTGACTTATTTTGTGCTCAATTGACCCGAAATTTCACCAAACATATTATGACTGTAATTTTCACCTGAGTTCATGAAACCTGAACCAAAATATCTAACACGTGCCTTGTTTTTCTATTTTCTATACAAAAATCGCTTAATTTTGATAAGAAAAATAAGTACAAAAATGGACTTATCAGTTCTTTCTAATTAATGACGATAGGGAACAGAGATTGATTCCGAGGTAATCAGATTTCTGGCTGATGAGACTTAATCAAATGAAAGTTAATAAATTGAGCAACGCTGGTCAATATTAAATTCTTACCTCTCTCGAGGCGTAGTCACGTAGAGTACAATAATTTAGGGAACCAGGTTGATATCTCATGTGACAAGTTCCTAAATTATTATTGTCAAAATGAGAGAGCGTACGGCTCCCTAATCATTACTTATCTTTTAGCGAACGATTAAGTATGTGTGAAAGTGTTCTAGAATAATTTAGATCTCTCTCAAATTATTCTATGTGTAATTATAATCCTAGCGGCCGTTCCAGGTTAGAAAAGAAAACAATTAAATTATTCAAACACAAATTAAATAAAGACTCGTGCAATTTAACCATCAAGAAATTAACCATATATCATGTTAACCCCTTCACCAATCCTAAATCCCTAATTAAAACTACTCACAATTTATAATTGAGCAATCAACAGAATTGAACTGAAAAGAATTAATTGTCATAAATTAAAATGGTAAAACTTACAAATAATCTCAGGGTCTTGAATAACAAAGCGGAAAAGTACTCGAAATTTCATCATATGACTCTCTCTGAGCTCCAGACAATAATAGGGATTTACAGACTGTTTATATAGAAAAAACGAAGGAATTCGGACCAAAAAGGGATTTCTGGGGGCAGGCACGGCGCCCAGGCACGGTGTGCCTGACGTTCGTTCCTTCGGAGCACAAAACAATGAAAAAGTGGCGGGCACGGTGTGCCTCCCCGGTAGGCACGACGTGCCTGACCTCCAGTAGCATCTACGTGATTTTCATCTTCCGGGCGCGCGCATGCCTGGCTAAGCGCACATCGTTCCTAACTTTGCTTTCGAATTTGACTATGTTTCCTTCAAGAAATTTGTAGAGAACACAGTCTTTTATCCACCACAACTTGCAAAAGTGAATTTGGATCATCCAATCAAAAGATAGGAATACAATGGTGTAAGGTCGCATCGTGAAACCTCAACAATGATTATCTGACTTCCTCGTCCGTTTTCACCTTTCTCCTCTCACATTCTCGTCTTGGTGTCTTAATATGAACTGTAGACCTTGAATTTATCTTCGCCACATTTTCACTCCTAGGACTTCCATAGGAATGCTTGATTTTCCGACCCTTCACTTTGAAAATCTTTTCAGGATCAAATATCCAGATTTTCATTGATTCATGTGGTGAGAGTGAGGGAAAGAAATTATCATTTAGCATGGTCAATGGAAAGTTTTTTGATCTTGGTGGCATGAGAAGGGGTATCAAATGTTTACTTAACTCCACTGTCATTTCCTGCATATTGGTGAATGAAAAGAAATCCAAATGATATTCTCTCGGTTTATTTGCAACCGAGAAAAGTGCATTTGAATTATCCTCACATTTGCTGAGGATTTCATCTTCGTCCTTCTCTACCCTTTCTGTTTCCTTTAGAGCCTCAGGAAATGGTGGCATGTTCTCAGGAATGGCCGGTGATGGAGTTGAGTTTTGAAGTTTCTCCTCCTCTGGTTGAGCTCCCTCCATAAGCTCCTCTTCTTCTTCCTCCTCGCCAATGTGGTTCACAATGTTTGGCACTTGTTTCAATTGATTCTCCAAGTTCAGTTCTTTGAGCACTGTTTCTTGAGGGTGTTGCGACATATCTTGTTGCATTTTTGTCACATTGATAGTGAGAGCTCGGATCATGTCTTCAGTGGACATGCTGGAATAAGAACTTGAGTATGGATTATATGTGTTGGAGAATGAATCATACCTCTCTTGGAAAACACCATCATCACTCTGTTCAAAGTATTCTTCTTGAAGCTTGGGGCAAAAATCCGTAAGATGCCTTTGTGACATGCAACTGTTGCAGGCCTTGGTATCTTGAACGTTTGAGCATAAGAGAAACTCCTTTACTAAAAATGTTAAGCTAGAAATTTGACTCTCTAGCGATGATGTGTTGGTATCCATTTACTCATATAAGCTCAGAAAATAGAAGAACAAGATTTTTTTTTAATAATTTTTTTTATATTTTTTTTTGTTTTTGATTTTTATGAGATAAAATAAAAAGAAAAATAATTGCCTTTCCCCGGCAACGGCGCCAAATTTGACGAGCACTTTGTCACGGTGCGCCAAAATAAATTCAATACTAAACACTTATACGTAGTATAGTGTAGTAGAGTTTGTATCCACAGGGAAAGGTATAATTCTCTTTCTATGAACTTAATGAATAAAAATGGGGGTTTTGGTTTGAGTGATTTAATTTAATTAAAAACTAAGATGAACAACCTATATGTGTTTAATTCCAGAATAAAAGGGACTTGACTTTGCTACTTTCCACTTGTTGATATATTTCAGTCGATCCTTGTTATATCTATAACTTATCCCCTCTCGAATACTCAATCGAGGAGTATCTCCAATTCATCGAGGGTAGTTATTAACAACGACCGTTCATTAATAACCCTTACTATTAATCAAATATAGAACAACGCCGTATACCGATATAATAGTAGCATTCAATCTTTTTAACTCCTTGATGAAATCAATTGAGATTGATAACCTTAACACAACGGTTTTGGTTTAACCAACAAAATTGATCCCTCTTAAGTTTATTAACCACGACCGTGCATTAATAAACCGAAGTCACTTACTTATGAAACCACCAACGATTAACCATCGGTTCGTTGATCGTTTCTAGTAGTAATTAATGTCGGAACGTTAACTAATCGTCACTTAGCAACCCTCCAACATTAATATAGAATGAGATTAAGGGAAGAATTAATAATCAAGAGAAGAAGTTAAGAAAATAACTCACAACTTTAATAATCAACAAGCTTCAAGAGCAAAACCAAGAATGGAAGTTTAGCTCCTCATTTGGAGACTAAACATAGCTAGAAAAATATAAAGAAATGCTATTCTAAAACTGAGCTAAAGAGTATGGAAGAAAGGATGATTTTTAGAGAAGAAAAAGTGTGCTATTTGTAGGTGTTTTTCAACACCTTTGGCCGGGTACCCGACCGGGTCAAGTACTTACCCGACCGGGTCCGGTCAAAATCAGATAATTCGCCATGTTCTGGTGATCTTCGCACGTCGTTTTGTCCCGGGTCACATCTGACCCGACCGGGTCAAGTAGGGGACCCGACCGGGTCCAATGACTTTCTTGGCAATTTCGTCTGTTAAATCATACCCGACCGGGTGGGGGTTTCTACCCGGTCGGGTTTCACTCCTGTGCAGTCAAATTTCTTGTTTTCTTCTCTTCAAAGTCTTCCTTTCCAACACCACAAATCCTAACTATACTTTAAAACTTATAAATAAAGAATAAAATACAATTACAACTGAAATCACATAAATGTTTACAAACTAAATAAAATGTCAAACAATCAACATAAATCAAACATAAAAACATATAATTATGCACTACTAATTAGTGTGCATCAGTTACGATTAATCAGGGGCATTTATGGTTCATTTTTGTGCACGTACCCCGAACGGGCTTACAGAGGATTAGTAAAAATCACAGGGACTTGCTGGTTAGAAAAACTGCCAAGTCCTAAAAATTGATCTGAAGCCCGAACGGCTACCAACATACGAAGCAGCCCAAGTGCGAAGAAAACCAAGAAAGCGGCTAAGTACTAAGAATTGATCTGAAGCCCGACCGGTTATCAACGTTGTAAAAGATTATCTGAAACCAGAATATGTTGTCCTAAGAATTGATCTGAAGCCCGACCGGCTATCAACGTTGTAAAAGATTATCTGAGACCATAATGTGCTAAGTCCTAAAAAATGATCTGAAGCCCGAACGGCTGAGTCCCAGAAAGAAAGGGTTTTTTCTTTGATAAATTATCAGAACCCTCCAATGCCCGAACGGCGATCAACGGCATTGAGAGTATTTAGTAAGAAATAAAGTCAGGAAATTGGTTAAGTCCTACAAAACGGGCCGAATCCCAAATGGTGAGCAATCATTCAATAAACACGAAAAAGACAGTATAAGATGTTTTGTGCGAAACAGATCTATATTCACCGGTTCTACTGACCGGGAAGTACAAGCTACTTGAAGAAAAGAGAATTACAACGATTAATTAAAAGGTAAACATCTAGATTATTGGCCAGGGGCCATTTCCTCTCCATCTTCATCCTCGTCTTCATCATCATCAGACGGGGGTTCAGGCTCTCTCCCAGCAGCCCGATCAGCTTCCCGTTGCAAATCTCGCTGAAATTTC